CTACATTTAAGTATCCTCCAAGGCATTGTCCTTGGCTCTCTTCTCCTTTTATACTACATCACTTGGTAGTTTCATTATCTCCCATGAGTTCTTTCATCAGTTCTAGACAGATGATCTACTTCGTATTAATAATACTGGTAGGGATAGTGGTGGTATTCTGCCAGTAATGCCCCCTCACGTTGTTTTCTATTGAATTGATGCCCATTTAAAAACGCCAATTCAAATAATACCTCCTCTAGTAAGTCTTGCCTATAATTATGTGTGTGTGTATATATGTATATATGTGTGTATCTGTGTATACGCATATATATACATATACAATATACTGCATATATAATTTACTTTTTCTAGTTATTTTTCAAAAAGTATGTAACATCCCTAGCCAACTCAAATTCAACTAAAATATTTTATGACTCTACAATTCTATGATCATGAGACTTTCATCTTTAAGTTTGTTCTAATTCATATTGTCAATATTAGGTAGAAAAATATTATATTGTGAGGTTGTACATGCACATATGTATATATGCATGCATATGTATACATATATGTATTATAATGGGTAGAAACAAGTGAGCCCTGACCCAACCTCCCAGACCATGGGCTAGTTCAGAGGCAGTAATGAAGCACTTATGTTTTGGGATTTCATAGCAATCCCTAAAGGTTCCCATGGACTTGCACTTTGTCATGATGAAGCAATACCTTAGAAACACCTTGGTCTCCTTCATAAGGGTGAGGAGACCCGTGGTCTGCATCACAGGGTGTTGTTCATTGAGCCAGGAAAAGTAGACTTTAGAAGGAATGACCCTGCCCCCTCACACCCTCTCTCTTGCTATCTGTTGAACGTCTGTTCCTTTCTCCCTTGGACTTTGGACAGGAGTGGGAACTATTTCTTCCCTTTCCTCTCCCTCAAGAGCTAAGGCATATGCTTACATACAACAGTGAGGAGATGTACTGTCCAGGCAAGCCTGAGACTGATACTCAAGTCATTGTAACCCTTTTTTTACTTTGTGCTTTCCTTAAATCCAGGCAAAGTTGTGAACAATGATCTTTGTATTTTTATTTCTAGCTTAGGTCTCAACTTCATAAAAGCAAAAATTAACATCTTAACAACTTCTCAGAGTAGATGGCTACCTCCAGATCAATGAACCCAAGTCACGCCCTGGATTGTCAGACATACAGACCTCAAGTTCCTTGAACAGTCCATATCCAAGGTCAAAATGAAATGCCAGTTCAGAAGCCTTATAAAGTACTTTTTAAAGGTTTTAAGTTCAATCAACTACTTGGAAGTCTATAATAAGAGTCACGTTTTATAATTTAATGTTTTAAAATTTGATAGTATGCACTGATGAGTCTTTTGTACTTTTGTAATTTAAACATGTCTTTTAATAATTGTCAATCTATTTTGACATCAAGTACCTTTCTAGAAGAAACTCTGTTAATTCCTTTTGGGGAAGCTCTAGACAGGAGCCAAATCTAAGCTTTAAAAGACTTTTTGTTTTTAATCCCCCAACAGAGTCAAAGATGGAGCAATAAAAAAACCATCAAATTCCAGAAGAATTCTCACAGAAGTCAGGTTCTTCCAAGACTGAACAAGTCCCCGTGAGCCTAGAGCAGGGCCGCTTAATGGGAAAAAAACTCCTGAGTTGTGGGTTTTAATATATTTGTGTGAAGTGGTATGAATGCATGGATCTGCTAAGTTAACCAATTTCATTTATTAACAGTTATAATTAACAAGTTTTTTTTTCTTTACATTGCCCTTAATTCTTCCATAAGTGTAACAAGTGCAACGTGTCAGCTCTTTATGGATTTGAAGATGGACTGACACATGGTGAGCGATTCTCAAAGGCTTATTGACTGAATAATGACTATTATGTGCCTCCATTAAGCCTTCTTTATTCTGGGTAAAAACACCCATAGTTCCCTCAACAAAACCTCACACTTAAACATGAAGAAGTTAAGGCTCAGGTAAGTTAAGAAATTTGTCCAAGATCATCTGACTCTTTGGTACCAGGACTTAGCTTACGTTACAGGTCCGAATTTGGGTAACAGATTTGGTCTAATGGCCTAATGTGGCCATTCTCCCAGATCATGTACATTTCTTCTTTACTTTATAGAAAAACACAAACAAATATAACCAATTCATATGCTGACGTTAAAACTACTCTGCATAGTCTACATGTGCACCAAAAAATATTGATTGTAATTCAGAAGTTTTACATTTGAGTGAAACATGCTTGAAGATCAGAAAAAAATATTTCAAAGGAATAATTTTATTTTTTTAACATCGAAGTATACTAATAGATTTCTTTTTTTTAAAAGTGTTTTCATCTATTTACAGACAAAGTATATGAGTTCTCATATAAAGTAGGGTGTTTTTTTTAAAGGAAAAAGAAAACAGAAACATGACCTAGTATTCACAGTTTGATGATTCTAAACGTGTATTTCCAATTGAGAGATACAATTGCAAACAACAGCCAGTTTGAGCGAAACAGAGAAAAACTGACTGAGGAAGTACAAAGGAATAGATTGTACCTTTGGAAACTAGAGCTGTAATCCAGTTTGTAAGAAAAGAAAGAATGGAAGTATTGGTCTAAACTCTCCTGAATCACAGGAGCCTAACACAATACTGCTCAAGTGACATCCTTTTCTCAAAGAGGCCCAAGGCTCATTGAGCCTGGCGATTCAATTACCCTCTCAACCTAGAAAGAACCCCCCTCCTGAGTTGAGGTCCACTGGCAGAGCAATATGGAACAGCCTACATTGTACACAGCCTGTAAATATCTAAAAAGCCGCAGGCTTTCAAGAACAAGAATCCTTGACCTTTTATGATTGCTACAGTAGTTTTTCAACAAAACATACTACTTTCAATAGACTCCCTTAAATACCTGACAAAAGAATATATTTGCAATATGTCCATCTCTAAATTTCCTGTATTTATAAGGAAACCTATTTAAATGAATAACCAAGTATAGTGTTACAATTGAGATACTGAGAAAAAGTGGACAAGATTAATGAAAAAAAATTTAAGCTATACTAAAATAGAAATGAGTCTGAATATATTTGGACATTTCAAAAATTTCAAAGAGTGATCACTTCTCCCTTTCTGTTTCTTGTGCAATCTTTACATGAAGAGGATAAGAAATTCAGAACTAAAAAGGATCTCAGAAGAGGTCTTGGTTTAACAGCAGCAGGGAACCTGCGGCCTTGAGGACACATGTGGCCTTCTAAGTCCTTGGGTGCAGCCTTTTGCCTGAGTCCGAGTTTTACAGAACAAATCTTTTCATTAAGGGAATTTGGTCTGTGAAGTTTGGGTTCAATCAAAGGACTGCAGTTGAGGACCTAGAGGGCCTTGAGGCCACAGGTTCCCCACCTCTAGTTTAGGACCTTCATGTTTTAGGTGAGGAAATTGAGGCGTAAAACACACTTGCCCAGGATCACATAAATGGTACTATATGCAGTCTTTGAGGCCAGATCCTCTGAACCTACAAACAACGATCACTGCATTTTCTCTAAGGATCCTATTTTTCTAGCATAACTAATATACTGTGTGATATTAAATTGAATAGAAATCCAAGAGTTAATCTTGTTTCTTCTTCATATATTTTCATGGAAATACTGAGTCACCACAACAGAGATAGAAGACTTCTCTCACTCATCAATTAATATTTGACAACTGCAAAGTAGCATCTTCTCAACTCAGTGTTAAGGGCATCACAATATTTACAATTTCAGGTAAAATACTGAATTCAACCTTTGACCACTTTTCTTCAAACATTTTCTGGCAACTTCACGACTTAAAAAAATAGATTTGCCTAATTTTGGTCTCTAGCCAATGTTTTCATTTTCTTGCACTGTGATAATTGATTAACTTGATGAAATATATAGAACACGTCTGCAAAATGGCATTACCAGCAAACATGCATAATTTTTACATTATTTTAAAATCTTAAAGTTGAAAACATTTCTTATTTTTAACTTCTATTCTTAGTAGAGTGCTTGGCACATAGTAGAGACTTAATACATGTGTGTTGATTGATTTATCTTTTCTTCTGTTGTATTTTTAAATGATTTATATCGAATAAATGTTTTAATATTTAAGTGTCTATTAAAAGAAGACTTAGCAGATCTTTATTGGTATTTAAAATTTTTCCAAATGGGAGGTAACTCTGCTTTTTCATCTGTTATGAAACAATAAGTCACAGTCAAGGACTCTTTGAGTTACAGTAATGGAAAAGATGAACGGAATTCATTATTCAATCAAACAAATCCATCACTAATTGAGTGAAGCACTATAAACTCCACACTATACTAGGAGTTGAAGGCTGAGAACACATTTCTGAAAAGGGGAGGGAAGAAGCATTTAGGAATTGACTACTATGTGCCAGGCACTGTGCTAAGTGTTTTGCAAATATTATCTCATTTGATCCTCACAATAGGCTAGGGAGGTAGATGTTAAGTCACGTTCTTGTCACTCCCAAAAACTTTTATTTAAAGTATCACTATAATATGTTCTATGAATATTTCACCACTGATGTAGATGCACTGCTGAAACAATTTAACTGAATTTCAATAAGAAAACTATTTACTACTTTGAGGTGCTATTCCTTTCATAAAATATGCCAAGATTAAATCTGAATAAAATTTTAAAAACAAAGTTATATACTTTACACTGTTATTGGTAAACACTAAATTATCTTCAACCATTCAATTAGTTACTGCTATAGTTGATCCATCAAAGGAATGTTATTTTAAACATATTTTTTTTAAATTGCTCTTTTTTTTGTTAACCATGATGACTAATTTACACAATACACATGCTATTTTGCTACTAGCAACTTCATAACTAGCAAAAGCCTGATTACTAAACCAATATTCATTTTTCAAATACCTATTGAATTTTATTTTGCTGCATTTAAACAAGGGAAGCATTAGATTTTAATCACAGTTCATCAAAAGCTTTTATCATCTTTCATTTGCCAGGATAAGTCTGATTCTACCTTGTTTGCGATACTGGTGATGAATGATTTGATGTCTAGATTAGTTGGACAGCTCTTCTGACAGGGGGCATCTGCACATTTCAAGCATCTAGGGAACAAAGTAATTGAGTTAAGGAGACATGCAGTGGCAAAATACAAAATCTTTTTCAATACAAAAGTGACAGGATCAGATTTACTTTTCTACATTTGCCTTTACCCTTTCAAATTAAATCTATAATATGAGTCAATATATACACGCTTGTTTGGGGCATGTTTTATAGCAATGAAACATATCTATAAGCATCCTTATTTATAGCTGTCTGTCTATATACATACATTTAAATAACAGTATTTCCACCTTCCAGCTTTCTTCCCATCTATTACACTTAGGTGAAACACAGCTGTTTATGACAGGCTCCTCACTTAAGCATTCTTATTTTAATCCTACTTGCTCTTCGAGTAATGCTTAGAGACTCAGACAGCTAATTCTGGTGAAGTTACTGGGGTTGATATTGTCATTCAAGTTTACAAAGGTATTTCCTCCCATACGTGATTTGTAACTTCTAATTCTGTCCTCTATCTCTATCTTTCAGCCCCATATGCCATCTTTAAAACATGGGCTCCAGTCATGTGGATGTTTTATAATGATTACTACTTCAGGTACCTTAAAAACCAACCACTAGGTAGAATCCTAAAAAGAAATGTCACTACTTCATCTGTTATGCAATCTGACTTCTTTCAGAATTTCACTCAGAATTATACACCCTCCTCAAGAAAAGTGGCTTGTCTATCTTCTGTACAAAGACTCATGAAAACAATCATCGTCTCCTAGCCTTTCTTCTGTGATTAGTATATGTTGGTCTACGGTGTGAATCAAATTTTTCATACCTAATTAACATCTTGTTTTTAAATGTGATCTCTCTTCTCGGCTGTGTGCCTCTAGCCTTCTCTCTAAATTAAATTTTACACAATGAAAACCAAAAGTTTTTCATAATCAGTTGTCCTCATTGAAATGTAGTCATTAAACCTCTCTCCCATTATTTCTCCAAATGCCATTGTTTGATTTGCATCTATTATTGGGTTGAATTGATACATCTGTATAGGTGCAGTCCTTTGCAAAAAATATATATTACTGACTTTGAAAAGAGTTTTACTAAAGTAGATCTTGCAGCATACTTTGTGACAAGAAAATGATTTTGACCATCTGAGTTCCCCATTGACATAATACACAGTGTACCATATTTATAATTTCTATAATCTGAAAAAAGGCTGAGCATTAAAATTTGCATGAAAGGTATTTCTCTTATCCCCGTGCTCAGGGAAAGTCAGACATCAGCTGAAAAGTTAGAGTGATTAATGTTCTAGTTACACTCAAGTGGTTTCCCTACTTACTTCAAAGCCATTTTCACAGTCTTACAATGTCTCCCACCTTATAAGTTTTCTTTTTCCCCCATCGGAAAGAGTAAAAGGTATACTTTTTTTCTCCTTTTTTTGAACTCATTATATCTGATGCATATGCAAATTTCTTATGCTGGTCTTTTCTAGCACCAAAGTGACAATTTAAAAAAAAATGAAGTTATATGATAGGCCAATGCAGATGAGACAAATTAATACGTAGTACAATTCTGTTCTTCATATAGAGAAATCTTAAATTTAACATCATTCAAAGGATCCACTTGGCAGGACTGATAATGCAAGAATTTCCAGTTGCAGTTGTTAGGCACCTTTACCAAATAATTCTCTTTTTATTTTTGAGCTGGTTCACAAATAACAGCTGTTGGAAATGTCAAATGTTAATGAGGCAGGGCCATGCAAACCTGCATTGTAGCACTCTTTTTTTTTCCCCTTTGGTGCCATGAATATGCCAGAAGAGGCAGACTCTTATAATAATACCATCTTGCAATCCTCTAAGCCCTCAGCAGACTCACGTGCATCAGGCTACCATTAGTCCCACTTATCACTGTGACAGCTCAGTAATTACACTGCTGCTCTAGCCAGGTAGTCCTAATAAAATACCAACTACTGCCCTGGAATGCATACTGGTGAGATGTTTTATTAAACTTTGGGGGTTGATCATCAAGTGACATTAGTGTTGACCTATTTTTCTATTTGACAATAAATTATCCTTTGACCATGCCACAATAGATATTACAGAGTGCATCTACTGTACCAAGGCAGAAAGGCACTGCATTACAATGAGGTAGGCAAGTGGTGTAAATAAAATTGGAGAAAGGTGTGCCAGAATGTGATTACCTAAATTGCTTTAAATGATTGATACTAGGAAAAACCCCAGACACAATACTTAGAGGAATATGCCAACAATTATTGTAAACCACTGTTCTGCATCAATTTCCCCTTATATGCTGCATTATATTGTACTCATTTTACCTTCATTCATGTAAATTTCCCTTTTCTTTTTTCAAAGTTCTGTTATTAGGGATTTTATTTTAAAAATACATTATGAGAGAGGAAATTTAATTTCGACACCTCTCTAGCGAAGTTTTAATCCCCAAACAATTATGCCTAATAAATTTACATTAAGAGGAGTACATTAACTTTTAGAAATATAATATATGAAGTTTTTTTTTAAGCAGTGATAATTTTGTTCAGCTAGGAATTCACTAGAGAATATAATGTATATCATTGGAAAAAAATAGCACCCAAAAGGTGAAAGACCTTCTCTTGCATAATGATAAAATATAAAATATGACAAAGTTTGAAAACTTTAGTACCTCTTTTTTCAAGAAAAAAAGGAACCATTAAAGAAACACGTTTACTTAGTATATTTCTCTAAAAGAGAGATGTTTCCCTTCCACAAATTTCAGGGTGACTAAGCAAATTTATCCCATTGTGATAATTTGTTTTAAATTATGAGTAATGAAAAGAGTGATATCTCATTCTTTACATGTCATGAAAAGAAATGCTGAGAGAATTGTTTTTTAAATTAATCAGTAAACTACCACAATGCTTATATTTTTTAACCTAGTTTGTTTATGAGTTTGCTACTTTGCAAACTAAAATCCCTGAATTTCAATCTGAATAAAAAGAAAAATATTCTAGTTCTTTAATTCTCAAATAATTTGTAAATGCAGCTTCCTTTATTTGTCTTTACTTCATTTCCCTCAAAAAAATCAGCATGGACCCAGAGACCTAGGCATTGAAAGAAATTAGCCTGGTCTAAAAGAAATCAGATCATAGCCAAGCTAGGGCATTAAAGACAAAAATAACCCTCCCTGACATCTAGCACAAGTACTGTGCGTTAGTACATTGATGCTCAGGGCCATCATTTGACAAAGCTAATAAACATATTTCAGGCACTTCAGTTCCCCCCCCCAGGGGCAAATACATATAGATATAAATATAGATATGTACACACACACACATATGCATACATACACACACATCCTTCAAAACTACTACATTCAGTAAAATAATCTAACCAAATTTATTAATTTCTCACAAATCTATTTTAGAGAATACTCAGGCTCCACAGAACCACTACATAAAATAAGAGTAATCTGTTCACTATGGAAACTGTGAGTTTCAAACATTTTTAAAAACTGATGATAATATATGCAACATTTGTACAACGCATTTAACTTTTCAAAGTCCTTTTTTGTACCTATGGCTCTCACCTTAGCCTCACAAAACCTTGCCAAATAGGTAGGGACAAGGATTATGTAAATTCTTTTTACATATAGGAAAAAGAGGGTAGGTGTCAGATTATTATGGCATGAACTCAAGGGGTATAATGAGATGAACCAATTAGAGGATAGCAATTAGGCAAGTTGCTTAAATTCTCTGGGACTGTTTCCTCATCTGTAAAATAGGACTTGGATTACATAGCTTCTAGGAACCCTTCCAGTTCTAAATCTATTTTCCTATAATCTATGATCCTATAATAGGTCACATTCCATTCTCCCTGTGGTCTATAATAATTGAATTTGTCTCTAATACAGCCACACTTGCTGTTCAGCCATTACAACTCAATATTCTCCCAGTGAATTCTCCCACTCTTGTGCCAGGTCTCAACCTTCCTCCTTCAGCGCTAGCACTGGCTCCACATGGTGGCTATAACCTCACCCCAAACTATACACCTACAATAGCAGCTGACTAGGAGACACAAGGAAATCTTAATGCCCCCCACCCCATACTCACCAGACAAAAAGATAAAAATAAGATTATTACTGATAGGATGATGTTAATGTTTCTTAGACACTGAACTAGAGCGTAGAGGTGCTATAGCATGCCTAGAGAATGAAAAGATTTGAACTAAACATAGACCTCCTTAATGTCCATATGGGGGGGGGTGCTACTATTAATTTTTTGTAACCTGAATCAAGATTCTACTCCAATTATAGCCAAGATTTGTTATATGAGAAAACAAAGAATTGATCTCTAATCAAGATGTGCTTCCCTCTAGTTACATTATAGAATATATTTTGACTCTGGCCTTTGTCTCAGGCCAAAGAGCTCTCAATGTGTTGCTGACTTCTTGATCTCTAGCTGTCCGAAAACAATCCAGTTTCAATTATTTATATGTTGCTGGACTTTCCATTTACATTGTTGCAGCCATTATATATACTGTTTTGCTGGTTCTTCTAGTTTTACTTTGTATCAGTTCAAATAAGTTTTTTTCCCCCCAGAGTTCTCATCATACATATACTTCATCACATATCATTCTCCATATTAATGTCAAATGATGACATTTCTTACATCAAAATATTTTGCTATAGTCTACACCATATTTTGTTTAGTATTTCCCCAGTTGTTGGGCATCCAACTCTTTGATACCACAAAAATTGTTGCTAAAATAATTTTGTATATCTAGTAACTTTTTAAATTTTTTTCAATTCTTTCATGTATATTCTTACCAGCAGAATTTCTAGATCAAAGGATTTTAATTACTCAATAGAAATCCAAATTGTTTTCCAGAATAGTTGGACAAACTCACAGTATTACCAAAAACTCATATGTCTGTCTTTCTACAACCCCTCAAAAAAAACTATCTTCATCTTTCTTTCTTGTTTGCCAACTTGCTCTGTGAGAAATAAAACCTCAGGTTTGTTTTAATTTACATTTCTCTTTTTATAAGGTATTTCACAGATT